AAATGTAAAGTGTGAAGGCCACATTTAAATTGTTTGATAGTGTCTCAGGACAAAATATATTATTCAAACTTCTGCTTTTCAGGTTATGAAATTTATTGTAAATTGGAAAAAGAATTCAAGCAAAGGCTTATTTAAATAGTTAATTCTGCTCAATTTCTATACAAATAAGCACCAACTGCTAATATCTCCTCAGATTGGTTATAGGCTTGTAATGCTACAAATAATAATGAAGTGTCTTTTTCTATTTAAAAAATAGATAAAGGAAAACTTCAAAGAAACCCCGAAATGACTCACAAGAGACAAATATTTAGAGGAAGAAAAATATTTGTCTTCATAAAAATCTTTATAAAAAATTATGAAACATTAACTTTTCTAAAAAGAACTTTACTAAAATATAGTATTAATGCTTAAAGTTTTATAATTCTGATGAATAATAAAATGAAAATTTTTTTATCACCTTTGATCCTTCTAAAAGCCGCTCATTTCAGCAACACTTCCTCATGCTGTGAACGAAAATCAGCAGCTCTTGTAGTAAATCTGCGATCGAAAGCAGGATTCCTGCAGCAATCGGCCGCAGCGTAAATTAAAAGTGTGAAACGGCTGCTCTGGTATAATTAGAGGAACGTGCGTCGATTTGGTCACAGCGATAAAACGGAAAACACTCCAAGTATCAGAAAGGCAGCAGGCAGGTGTTATCGCGGCGGCGCGTTTTATTAGCCTTTTGGCTGCTGTTTTGACTCACAAATCAAGCGTCGATCTGACGTCTAACAGCAATAAATGCAAGTTAAATAAACATTTATTCAAACGGATCGACGCGGGAATTCGGCGATATCGGGGAGAAAACCGATGGATGGATTATAAAGCAATAAATCTCCAATAATTCGACACGCGGCCCGCTGTTTTTAACTAGAAAAGATAAATTTTACTGCGGGCCGTTTTCTCCTGCGCGCAGTGAATACGTGTTTGTCCTTCTCCTCTTTGGGACAGCAGATAAATATAACGTGAGTGATCGGTTATGGTAGCACCTGATCCCAAGCAGGCCCAATAAAAACATGCACTCAAATTATACTGCGCAGTGTTGGCCCGGCCGAGATGGATGGACGCAGCCGGAGAGTGACGGACGACAGAGAAATAGTGCCCCTGCTGCAACACCCATTACATTCGGGGGTGAATAATGCAGAGAGTTGAGAGAGCAGGGGCCAAGGGAGGAGCTGTCAATTCGTTATCTCGGGCCCGAATTTGCAACATAAGCGCATCTCCGCGCAGCCGGAAAATTTATGCTTGGGCTTGTCCAGAGGACGAAAGAGATAAAGAGGAATTAAATTTTCTAATTTAAGCTTTTGTTCTATTTTTATTCAATAATGCATTGTTTTACACAAGAGCGCGAAATCAAAAAAGTTTTTTTTATAGAAATTATTGGGGGAGATTCAATAGCTCTCCTGATATAAAAGATATCCCTGGATAAATTGTTTTAAATCTGTGAAATCACGTTTTTTAAAATTAATAAAATCAGGTTTTTTTAAAATTCATGAAATCTGTTTTTTTTTTCAATTCGTGCATGAAATAACATTTTTAAAATTAGTGAAATGTGAAATCAGACTGAAAAAATATGCGTATATGCTTGCATTTTAATTATTACTCATCTCGTTATCAACAAAAACATAATTAATATTACATATGTAAATACAAATGAAAAAGAACTAAATTATTAATTTCAAGTGAAGGATTTAAAGATGGATATAATCAAGTTATTCAGATATTTTAGATTGTATCAAAGCCGACGAAAAATGACCAAGCCCTCCAAATATAATCTAATCTGTATTCATTTATTCTCAACTGCGGCAAATTAGACTTTCAACGCATTTTCAAATTAAAAGTCCATTAATTGGTTAGCACTAGGGAAGCCTGTCCAAATTAACACACAATCATGAGACCCGCGTCTTAAAATTTTCCTAAACCCTTCAACACCACGCGAGAGAGACGAAAAGCAGACGCACTTACCAGAAATAAAATTTTTGAATAAGAAGCGTCACAATTTAAATTATATATATGTTTAATCCTCTATTTTGTATTCGTTGGAAACAATATAAAAGCCGCGGCAGCTCGACTAGCACAATAAAAATGAGCGGAAACGCAGAATAAATCAAAATGCAAAGCCGCTTCAGGATCTTTTTTTAAAGCCAGATGCCACCTCGAAGGTATACATTAAATTATCATCCCAGCTAACTTTTCTCTCCTCTCTTTTTTTGGCGAAATTTATTTATTTATCAAAATGCGATGAATCACTCGGAGAGATAAAACAATTGGCCCGAGGACACCAATCATCTAAAAGGCTGCGCTCTTCTCATTTTACTTGTAATGGCCCGTCTTTAATAAACGAGAGGAGCGACGGCGCAAATATTACAAAAAGCTCTCTCAATTTCCGCACGGCCTCCGGCAAAGAGCGTGCGCGCTTCTGTTCTCCCTCAATATTCGATGGTATATTTTCTGATGGAAAACAACTCAATTATGATGGATACACTTATTTTGCAGCGGCACGATAGTATAAGTCACCGTTTTTATCTTGAAAGGATCGGCACGAGTTTGTTTGATTTGAAAATTCATTGGTTTTCCTTTCGGGCACGCTTTGATCCCATGTTGCGAATTATGAATTTCAATGCGAAAAGGAAACAGCAGCTGCTGCTGTTTACGTATTCATGTCTTGAAAATCAACAAATTTCTACTGAAAAAAATAAAGTAATATTTCTAAAAGCACTAATAAGTTATTAATTTAAGCAATTATAGAAAGTAATACTCGTAAAAATTTAAATTACCACAAAAAAAATAATAAACTTTATTACTATACATTAGTGCACAGCAGATTTTTACATATTACTAAAAAGCTATTTAATAATAATTAAAATACCTCCATATTTTAAATTTTATATTTAATTAAACTTGCATTATATTGAATTTTAAATTTTTTCGGTTATAATTTTTTTTAAAGATTTTAAATATTGTTTTGTATTGTAAATTAAAAATTAGCTGACAATATTTAAACTAAAATTATACAGTGTACTATTTTTGTTAATGTATATAAACCACGCGGTTGTCTACAAGCTACATATGTATATTTAAAGCTAAATGCAGAATCTCAGTGTGTCTTACAATTCATGACGCCTTGGTTTAAAATGTTACATTCCGAAGAAGACATTTAAAATTGAAAAATTGGTTAAAAAAATAGCTCCTTATATTACCACAATAAAAAAAAGATCGAAGTTTCATATTTAATTCAAAAAGAAATGATTTGTATAATAGAGCTAAAGAATAGTTCAAGTAGAATTGGTACTCATGTTCAGAAAACATTTTATCAACAAGAATATAGATTAAATGCTAAATTTAAACCTGTCACATTGTCAGTATTTTCACTGACTCGCCATTGGATATATCGTATTTTTTTATTTTATTTTGTAGCTTACTCTTTAAAAGAACTTAATTTTCACAATTCTTAAATCAGAAAATTTATAAAATTTAAATGCTCCCGTGGATCTTAAAAATGTGGAATTTGTTCCAAAAGGAGGGTTTATAAATTTGGCCAATAATTAAAAAATTTCTGTAACAAATCCAGCTTTAATTTGAAAATTTAAACTGCTAATTAAATTGCTAGAACACGGGCCCTAAAAAGGGTTTGTGTTTTCAGTCATTAAAACCTTACGTTAGTCGATCTAGTAAGTCACGAAAAATTTAATTTAATTTTTTATAACTGTCAAAGCGTTTTTCATTTTATCCCTTTTTTATTAGTTTAATTCTTATTATAATAATATTATAAAATCTTAATTCTTTCATAATTAAGTAATTTTTTTCCCACTAATAATATCGATCAAAATAGTCACGTGTGTGTCTTTTATTGTGCGGTGCTGATTATTTTTGCAGGTGAGAAAATAGCGGTGGACAGTTTCACATGCGCCTTATTCGCTTTATTATATTTCGCGCCGTTGCGTTTTAACCTGCAGAGAGCGAATTTCGATTCCTGTCATGTTCTCTTAATAACAAATATCGCGGCTAAGGGCAATATCTCGCGTGCACACACACATGCACGGGGTCGGAGATGATTTTTAATTTAAAACGCCATAAAGCACCGCTCGGCGCGCGCGAAACTATTTATCACAAGTCGTGCCGCGCTGGCTGGCCGCAGAGTTGGCCAATGTTTTTAATAATATCACTATAAAACAATCCTTCATCGCGCAGAGCCGTCGCACGGCCTGGTAATAATATTTCAAAGCTCGGCGGGCAATAATAGCTGCTGGTGGAGCTGCTTTATTAAAAAAACGTCGCTAGATCCAGGCCCACGCGCGTTACTTACTTACTTAGCCCCGGCCTGCCAGTGCCGTGCGAGGCAGGAATAATAAATCAAGCCTGATAAAAGCACAACACAGTGTGAGCTGCGAGAAAGGTGACGAATGACCCCAAGACTGCCCGCAAGCGAAATTGCCAGCTCGCTAAAACCATAAGACAAGCAGCCATGCATCACAAGTGTGAATTTCGTTGTTATTTTATTTCCTATGTTCCAAATTGGACAAAGTTAGAATTCAAAATATATTGTATAAATTCTTTGTTTACAAGTTAAGGAAAATTTACTACTTTAATCATTTTTTTATTCCATTTTTTTTTTTTAATTATAAAGAAAGTTATTTTAGTAAAAATATAATTCTGCAAAAAAAATTAATTATAATATACATTCTGAAAATTCTAGAAATTAATTTTTAGAAAGTTTTAGGTATATTATAAAGATTATAGATTTCAACCAGCAATACATGACGTTGTACACATTTGTGTTTTATTGAGACAATAATAATAATTCTAAAAAACGTTCTGACTCATAATTTTCTGGCAAAACATATTAGTTTTTCATTTTTCTGACGTTTTATTTCCTGACAAAACATTTTCTGAAATTTTAGTTTTTCATTTTACAGACATTTTATTCTCCCACATAACGCGGCGACTCATCTGATGGCAAAACGTATGTGCAGCTCAGTAGCGGAAATAGCTGAAACGGAACTTGCAGAAGGCTACCACATGTATTGTGCGAAGTGTGCAGACGTGCAAAGAGTTAATTTATGATTATTATTGTTGCTTTAATATTAAACTTAAAATTCATAACTAAAAAGTATCAAACGATGAGAACTGGTTTGATTTTTATATCAATCGTTTTAATATTATGGCTCATTTCAAGTGAGGTATGCATTACTAGATTTATTTTGTAATCTACTTTGTAATTTTAAATCAAATTGTAAATATTTCGGTTTGTCATTATCAGTGTTTTGAAATCGACGGAAGAATGAGTCCAGTACAATCAAAAAATATAATCAACGTGGTAAGGGTATGTAGAAGATCAAATAATAAATTCCCATTTTAGTATTAAATTAAACTCTATTTAACTATTTGTTGAAGTTAATTAAGAGAGCCAATTTTAAATAGATTTGCAAGGAAATATTGAAATACATATATACAACACTTAAAATTTCTTTAAATGACGTTAATTACACTATAAATAATTTAAAAAGCGTTTGATAATTTAAACAGGCCAAATTCATGGCACAAGAAAAGGGAACTGTGCGAAAATTAGGCAGAAATGTTAAAGGTATTATTATCAGAATAAAAAAAATATCAGGGGTTATTTATGCGTGATTACAGCTTCGCGTCATAAATCAAAAAAGAATAAGAGGCAAACCATTATAAAATGCTGCGGGAGAAAAACATGCACCCTGTTTTCATCTCAAAAGCAAAATGAAACACGCAGGAATCACACATTGAAGAATGAAGGCACTGCTCAACACCAAAGTACGGCTAGATTTTCTTTCAAGCAGAAATCAACAACAATCACGTCGCAAAGCCTGGAGACTGAAATGAACTCGGAAACGCAAAAAGCAACTGAAGGACCCCAACCAGAAGAAACCTTTGAGACCACAACAGAAACTTTTGGTTTGGCTTAGCTTTAAAATTATTTAGTGAAATTAATTATAATTATATTTATGTAACGCAAGAACAAACCAGCAACGGGGAACAATCTTTTACAGCTTTAAGCACTGATATTATTGATATACCTATATCGACTCAAGATACACCCAGTACCACAACCACCACCGTTCCATCCACGGCAACCTCTACAACGCAAGTATGCAATTAAAAAATTATTCAATCCGAAATCCTATTTTGAAAATTCAAATTTAAAGCCGCCATGTTCCTGTCCAAAAAACTGCGATCTACAGGTAGATTTCCTTTCTTATTCCACCCTAAAAAGGTAAGAGAGAATTTTTCAGAAAAATTTGACAGACCCAGATAACCAGATCATAGGTTTTAATACATAATTTAAAACATAAATATGAGAATTTATTTAATTGTACTTTAAGATCCAGAAGTTTATGGAGAGTGGAAAAAAATTGGCAATATAACATTTCTGTTTGGAGACCAGCCTGTAATTTTAATTCTGTCGATTTACCAAGTATTGTTAACAATCACAATTTATATTAGATGGTATGGTTGAGTGCTTGGCAACAATGCTGCAGCCTTGGAATGAAGCCTATCAGCTTTGAATCATTTCAAAAGCTTAGTTCTGTAGGGGAGATTTTTAAAAGTAATGAGGCTAAAAGTTAAAAAAAAAATGCTTCAATACAAAAACATTTTTTAAGATTGGTCGAATAATTTAAAGTTCTGGACAAGCGGAACATCTATGGGGTGTATCAGTGGCACCTTTGTATGGTGCGCAAGTGACAACCGAAATTTCGAAAATGGAATGTGGCATTCTAAGCAACCAGCCGAAAAGCAAGTTTCGGGGGACGTATGCATCAGCGCTTCCTTTGAAAACGGGGCATTCCTTTTAAGGGACCAATTGTGCTCAAAACGATTTGCGTTTGCTTGTGAAGTATTTAAATATTTTCCGTAATGAATTATAAACAGAGAGAAAATTTCGCAGGGCTTGATGGAAAATCCTGGCGAGTTTCTGCAAAACGGATGTCCTGCCTCGGTACATTGCGACAGCAGTGCGAAGGTCGTAAACGCAATATTTTATGCTCAATTTTCCACTGGCACCAAAAGGATTATAAATTATTAAATCAATTATTTTACAAAAATAAATTGCAATTTGCATTAATTATTAATGTTACATATTTTCTTTGCCAGGAACTCACCAGTAATGGACTAACTCAAGGTGCATTCAATGTTTAATTCTCCATTTAAAGATTTTCCCTTTTAATTAATGTTTTCCTTACTTACCAATGTTCTTTGAGATATTTAAGGATTTTTTATAGAGCCAGGACCGATAAGAGGAACATTTCAAACCAAATGTGGAAAACTTTACTATTTCTCAAGGGTGAAAGTATTTTTAATTCTCCATTTTAAGACATCGTTTATTAGAATTTTAACAGAAAACGTGGGCAAACGCAAGAAATTACTGCTGTAGCATAGGAATGGATCTGGATAGCCTGTATTTAATTGAAAAGGCGCAATGCATAGCTGAAATTTTCAGAAGTTTGCAATTGTTATTGTCTTTTGTTTCTGAAATATATCTTTTGTTATGAATTAAGACTTGCCGACCCGATTGAATGAAACAACTTCTTACTGGAGTTCTGGAAGAGCAACCAAATACCCCGGGAAACATTTCTGGTGCTCAGCAGACTTGTACTTTTATCATCATGAGATAGTTTGGGGTTACGGATTTCCGAAAAAGGAGCACGACTGCGTTTTCGTTTCATTCAACAAAACCACAAATAGTACTGAACTTGGAACAGCACCTTGCGAGGAGGAAAAGTTCTTTCTTTGCTCGGTAATATGATTTTGAAGCCATAAATGTGATACTAAATGAGAAGAAATTGTTTAGGCAGTTTCATACAATAATACTGACAAATTCAAGATATGGTACGAATGCAAGGAAACCTATGGTCTTTACAAAGGTTAATTTAAAAATCCACCAATGAGGAAATATACTTAGATTGAAGTCATCGTGACTTTTATGAATTTTGTTATAGATGAAGAAGATCTCCTTTTAATGTTCACAACAAATATGCCAGCTAACCATCTGCTTGTAATTTATTTAAATATTTTTAAGTATACACATAATAAATGCTTAAAATATTATGAAGTGTTATGCGAGGTGTCTAGCCCAAAATTTTGGAAAAGTTTGACACTCAAGATTTTTTACTTGTATATGAAAATAACTTTTTAAGCTCAGTTTCTTGACAAGATGACGAAGGGAAAAACGATTTTGAGACTTCTTGAAGATGCATTGAAAAATGAAACTGATCTGCAAGTAGCCTATGCTGGCTATGAAAAGTGCACTAGCATAAGTAATTCTACCTCGTTGATTAGATAATTTATAATCAATCGTTTTACATTTCATTTATAGAAAATGACAACCGTTGCGATATAGCCTACCTTATGTTAAGGTGCTCTTTAACGACTAATTACCAGATGGTGCAGTATTTGATTGCGTACATTTTGAAAACAGCGAACAACAATAATTATGTAAGGATATATTATAAATTGAATTAAAGTCATTATATTGCTTATACGACGTGGTGGTAAACAACAAACAAAATTAATTTTAATAATTTTAAAGCGTTGGAATTAATTGAATTTTTTTCATTATATGCTATATTAATAAAACCTTTCAAGTTTCCATCTCCATTGATGTGCGAACCAAATTATCAATACTGCGATGTTAATTACATCTGCGCCAACAATGTAAATATTCTAATTTATCAAACATATTTTAATTTTTGAAGCACAATTTGCTAACTTAGAGCACCCTAATAAATCAACTGCATTCAACGGGAACAAGTCAGTTTTAAATAAATAATATAAATTATAAATCTAAAATAAGGACATTATGAAATTCGTGTTTCAGGTGACATTGGAAAATTGGTTTCATTGTCAAATGGTGCAAAATATTTTGTTGGGAGAAATATTAATAATAGTTTCTCGAAATTGGTGCGGTAGCATTTGAATATTATATCGAGTCGGCATTCAATTTCTTTATAGTCGTATGAAGTTACTTACTCCTACTGCTGTTCAATCGGAATGAGGCTTTTAGAAGTTGAAAATATTACTGAGCTTGAAGAGTTGTTGCTACTTGATCCAACTTGTAATATAATATTAATAAGATTGTTTCAATTTAATGAAAGTAAAAAAAATAAATCAATTTTAGTGCGACCTGAAATTTGGACTACGGTTGGTCCAATCAAGGAGAATGAAAACGGAGATTTATCCTTCTGGTGTTCCTCTGGCGCAAAAATACCAGAAACACTTTTTCCAATGAAGAAAACTCCTACAGATCCTTGCTTCAAAACGAGCAAATGTTTGTTTCTGCAACTGATGTCTGGAAATATGGCTCCAGAAAATTCTTTGCATTATAGCGATTGCGAAACAACTGATGTTCAATTTTTCTTGTGCAACAAATAATTTTGCGACTAACTTTGAAATATTACCTTGGAACTTGGAACATTATTGCCTTCAGAATAAATTTTAACATAAATAATTTGTAAATTTAAATTAGATTGGATTGGGACTGAATAACAGAATAAAGCAAAAACTATGATGATTTTTAGATAATTTTTTTTGTAACACTATTATTATGCATTCATCATAATGACACTAATTTTATTCAATGGAAAATAGCTGAGGAAAAATTGTTTTTAAATCTCCGTTTGTGACACATGGCAAATAAAATTGTATCCGGTTAATTAGTTGCAAATTATTCCTCACCGTCTCAAGTTTTTTTTTAATTGTTTCATTTTTTAAAAAGAATATCAATCCCTGATAAGTTTCAATTAAGAAATAGTTTAAAATTTTATAAGGAAATTCTTACAGCCCTTCAATTCCTCTCAAAATCGTGGTAATTTTTGCGTCCGTTCGAGCGCATCTCGCACGCGTGCCCGAATTGCAGCATTTATAATCTTATGCTAATCCGGCATTAAGTATCGCTGACTGCATTTGGACGGAAAGAAGTGTGATTTCCGCAGCAGTGCTGCACCCCCGCGCATCCATTTATCTGCAGATCCGAAAATCCTCGCGACTCGCTGATGCGTCACGTTCCTGAATACATTTCGCAGGAGAGACACGTGCTGACTGCTGGACACGAGATTCCGTGTGCCTTTGGGGGAAGAATAAATTTCCAACTTTCGAGTCGGAAAAATAAATCCGAAATGAATCGTGCCGGCGGCGGAACGCTCGCGATTATAAATAACACGCGTGGGTGAAATTGAATTATTCGCTCATGAGCAGAAAAACGCTCCGCGGGGAGGGCCGGAAAATATTTTACATCTTTCTCGGCTGCTGTCAGGGTGCATTTTTATTGCAATTTTTCAGCCTCTCTCGAGAGATGGAGAGAGGAAAAGTGGCGGCGGCCGAAATAGTTTGTTATTACAATGTTAGCACACCTATGGGAATCGCCCCTGCCCAAGCAAGGCTACGTCGTCCCCCATTTATTCCATTTATTCATGATGATGCTCAACTTTTTCTGAATAATCAAAATTTATGGAGGCGTCTGAGAAGAGGAAAAGTCGGCAGAGATGCTCGTTATGCGCCGAAAAGGGAGAGCGGAGAGTTCATTTGAGTGGATGTGGACCTCGTCAAATGAAAAATATCAAAAGAGGATGTGAAGTGGACTGCCAAGGTTTTATGAATCACATTGTGCAAGCTAAAATCCATTTAGATTCATTTTATATCAAATCACGGCAATGTAAATTAAAATTATTATAAAAAAATTATGTTTTTAAAATTTTTTTTTATTTCTCAGGTTTGATATTGTTTTGTATTTTAAATCTATTTATCGATGAGATTTTCTTTTTCTATTTTCTACATGTGGGATAATATAGTGCCCTGAATAAACATAATAAACTGTGAATAAAATTTGTATTTTTTTGGCATTTTGTTAAAAAAAATATATTTCTAAACAATTTCGTAATTTGGTGATATTTTAATATTTGCTATATTTAGGACTGTAAATTTTTAAGTCTATTTACCGCTATTTACTATTACGATCAAGATTACGGAAATTAAATCAAGTAGGCGTGTTATTTTTATACCTGTGCGAGTGCACGTGGCTGTGCGTTGGCTTGAAAGGGGTTCAGATATAAATTTTAACCCTCTCTTTCTTTCATTCTTTCTCTATAAACGCCACCGGGTGCGTGCACGGCCCGTGTGTGTGGTGTTTGTGATTGAGACCACGTGGCCCTATTCATCTGACAACAGGTTTATTAGCGGCCGTATTTCATTTCGCCGGGCCTCAAGCGCAACCCTATCCGCTCCTTGTTATCTCAACACGTGACTCCTGCAGGAGGAGGTGCGGAAAAAAACGAGGATAATCATAACACTTTTTGCCCTAGAAGACTGGAGTGAACGACCTAGACTGGGAGGAGAGGCCACTTTTTATCAATTATATAAATCATAAAAAAATACAAGCATAAAAACAAGTAAGCCAATTTTTTTTTATAACTATTATTTATTTATTTTTTCCTAATTCCTTTGTGAATATTTTTATGTTTGTAGGTCAATTCTAACTTTTTGAATACATTTGTTTGAAAATTGATTAAGATAAAATTGCAAGTTAATAATCACCTTTGAAATGTTTTTCACCCATTTTTAAGAAAACCTCTTTTCACCCAAAATCGATTAATTCTGAGGTACATATTTGTTTCGGAAATTTCATATTTTTTACTAAAATTATCCGATTCAAAAATTTTCACAAACAGACTAAAACGCGCAGTTTCAAAATAAAAGTCTTATTTTTATAGACATGGCTTTGTCTTTAATAAAATCACCTATATTTGACAAAACAAGTCACCTATTTTCCACAGCTTTTAATTTAAATTGAAATTAAAATTGGATTGGAAAAACCATTAAGTTGAGCAAATTTACACTGTTTTTTGTTTTTGCTTTGTATAATTGCTTGAGTAAAGATAATTGAGATTCATCAGACAACATGTTTTGAATGTTCTGGTTTATGCTGTATTTTCTCTGTCTAAATTTTTTTAATGAATATATTTTATAATAAATTGAGTTTGTTGTAATTGATATTGCGGCGAGAGAGAGAGAGAGAGAGAGAGAGAGAGAGAGAGAGAGAGAGAGAGAGAGAGAGAGAGAGAGAGAGAGAGAGAGAGAGAGAGAGAGAGAGAGAGAGAGAGAGAGAGAGAGAGAGAGAGAGAGAGAGAGAGAGAGAAAAGGACGATATCAGAATAGAATTTGGAGAGAGGCGCTAGCAACCCCGGCCGGCCGGCGGAGCGTTCCGAGTCATCCATCACCAAGATTGATCGCCATCCCATGCGGACATGTCGCCACTTCACGCCAAAAAGGACTGAACACGCAAACTTTTTACCCATATCATACGGGATGAGCAGTGAATAAAAATGATGATGGGTCGAGGCTGCGAGCTGAGAGAGGCGCGCATGGCATAACATTTTCCTGGCCCGAGCCCATTCTTATCGCAACCCTCGATTAACCCTGCGAAATACCACCCTAGTTGACAGCAGCTCGGTGGGCTAATGCGTGTGCTGTGGCGAGATGAGATGATGAGATGGTGACGCGCAATTTATCGCGCCTGTTGAATATTTGATCGACGGCCTCGCAATTTGCATATTTATTGTATATCAAACTGGCCGCGCTCCTCTTTGGATTCTTAGGCGTTATGGAAAACGGTGCCAAAGTAATATAATACGCATGGGAGTTGGCGGTTGACACCCAATTTGCTTAGCAAATCAAAAAACAAAAATATAGTTCCGGCAACGACGGCAGCATCTTAAAATCAGACTACCGTAGATATTCAGTCTGTATATTATGTTCTTCTAATAAAAGTTTATAAAACGGAGAATTTAATTTTTTATTTTTAATATTTCACAAGTTTTGTGTATTTTTCTTGCTCATGAAATAAGATATTGTCTTATATTCAATAAAATGAACAAATAATAAGTCCTTCTGGCCATTTACCATACACCGTACAATAATAAAACAAGAGCTCGTTGAAAAACAAAGAACTATTTTCCAATCCAACCCATTGTTAAACCATAATTTGAAGATTATTAATAAAAATTATTTTTATTTATTTTTTAACATAAAAGCCAATGGGGGCTCGATGCAACAATGAAATGTGTTATTAGCCAATCAGAAGCGGTACCAGGTTTAAAGTACCACTTCTGATTGGCCCTCAAACAATGAAAATTGATTTCATTGTTGCATCGGGCCCCCATTGATAAAAGCAAAAAAAAAATGTTTTGCTGTGGTGTAGATTTGCGAAAAAATTAAAAAAAAATATTTAATAAACAAAAATAATTAATATAATTATAAAATTGAATATATTTTATTTTGTTAAAAAATTAAATAACTAAAATAATTTATTATAAATGTTTAATTACGTGAAAAATCTAAAGCATAAACAACAACAACAAATAAATGTAAGAAAAGCTGCGCGGCTCAAGATTTTTTTCCTTTCATCAAAAATTCGTGCAAGTTGAAAAATATACAGTTATAAAATGAAACTTAAAAAATTCAAACTTGTAATGGTTATCAGTTATCAACAATAGAAATATTAATCAGAATTTTGAATCCACATAAATATATTACTGTGTCTCGTCTCTATAATTATATAAATATTTTGCAGTTCAACACCCTCTTATTACAACTACAACTATTCTTTTTCCATAACCTCAATATATTCGCAGACAAATCTTTTTGCCAAGGACAGCAAAATCACTAAATCATCGCATTAAATGAAATAAATTGGAATCTTCCTCATTAATTATCAATTAATTTTCAAATCAATTCGATCAGATATAAAATTAATGACGAATCGCGTGAGTGTAAGAAGTCGGACACCAAGAGTCGTGGCCGTATCGAGATCGTTTGATCGCGCATGTGTGTGCTGAATCGCAATCCGCCGGTCAGTTATTCTTCTTGTTCACATGCATTGTTTCAATTTGTGTTCGGCGCGGCGAGATCAAAGGGCCGCGAGCAGCAGCGAATCGCAAAAGCGTGTGATATCAAACAAGCGCTGGGCATCTCATGTTTTTGCTCCTTACTCAGCACTTAATTATCGTCTAATTGTTGCGCGTCATGCACGCCCCATCAGAGCCAAAAGGATGCGGGTTTCGCTCCGAATTTCCGCTCTATTGCCGCCGATTTCAGTTTTTTCATTCAAAAGAGTTAAATTTGTTTTTAAAAGCTGCTATTGAAAAGAAAAGTGATCGTAAAATGGGTTTCATTATTATGATTTATATTTTAATGCGGGTGTCATTTTCTGAATCTTTTGAAAATATATGGAGGAGTGACTGCTGGTTGCCATCTGCTTTGCAGCGGCCTTTGAAAATAAATTTTAGGGGGTACACGTGCCATACCTGCCTGCATGAAATAGTTTTTACTAAACGCAGACGGCCAATTCTATATATATTTGAGGGCAGATGTTCTAACTATCAATTAGAATTTAATTTAATTAACGATTCACATCAACTTTAAACGGTATCATTTCTTCTTGTATAAATTTTCTAATTTTTTAAATTTCTTTTTCAATACTGCTTGAAATTTTATCACA